AGCATCGCCCAGAAGGCTGTCTTGCGCGGCACCTTTCGTGTCCGCTTCTTCTGGAGCTCGCACGGGAAGTGTTCGGGCCACCTTGGGACTCCTCCCTCCTCCCTCCTCCCTCCCTCCCTCCATCCCTCCCTCTTCCCTCCCTCCCCCCTCCCTCCTCCCTCTCCTCCCTCATCCCTCCTTCCTCCCTCCCTCCGCCCTCCGCCCTCCTCCCTCCCCTGTCTTGGACTCTCGTGTGGCAGTCTTGAAGATCGCTTTGGGGCCGTCTCGGGGCCCTATCCTGAGGCGATCAGAGCTTCCCTTGCGGCTCCCAGAGGGGCCCTGTTGGGCCTTTGGCCATCGAAGGCCGCAAACGGACAGGTCTTCGACCGAAGACGTGCGAAGCGGAGAAATCCTCCACGCAAGCGGATGAGTTTGACATCTCGAGGCATTCCTGGAGAGCGTCTTGGGGGTAGGTATCTTGCAGCCTCTTAGGGGAACTACTGGGCGTGTCCTTGGGGCTTCGGGACGTCGATGATGCTGCTGCTGAGATGCTGCTGCTGCTGCTGAGGAGGAGGAGGAGGAGGAGGAAGAGGAAAAGGAGGGGGAGGGGGCGGCGGAGGAGGAGGAGGAGGAGGAGGAGGAGGAGGAGGAGGAGGAGGGGGAGGGAGCGGAGGAGGAGGAGGGGGAGGAGCGGAGGAGGAGGAGGAGGAGGAGGAGGAGGGAGAAGGAGGGGAGGAGGAGGAGGAGGAGGAGGAGGGAGGAGGAGGAGGAGGAGGAGGAGGAGGAGGAGGGGCTGCGATGGCTCCTGAGAGAGAGAGAGAGACCCCTCCCTCGCCCTCTTCGAAGGCCGCCCCCCTCGCGCCGCCCCCTCGTGCGCGCCGCCGGCCTCCCGAGAGAGAGAGAGAGAGCGCTCCGGAGGATGGCGGTCGGACCGAGGCATCCGGCAGAAGCATCCGTGCGCGCTCACGGTTGTGCGCGGTGGGTGCCGAGGAGGAGGCGGAGGAGGCGGAGGAGGAGGAGGAGGAGGAGGCGGAGGAGGAGGAGGAGGAGGCGGAGGAGGAGGAGGAGGAGCCGGAGGCGGAGGCGGAGGAGGAGGAGGAGGAGGAGGAGGAGGAGGAGCGATGGAGGTCGAGTCAGGGAGGGTGCTCTAATGTGTTTCGTTCGGAGGTGAATAGACCACCTGCCCTGACACGTCGATGAGCGAACTGGCCGTTTTCGGTCCGAGAGAGGGCGTCGCGGCCGTCATTCTGCGGGTCCAGGTCCGTCGGTGTCGGTCCCAGGCCGTTTTCACCGAAGGGAGGTTTACTAAAGGGAGGTTTGTCCACCGTCGATTCGTGCTTGTGGGATGTGCCCTTCGCGAGGCCGCCTTCGTCCTTGCCTTTCTCTCTCTCTTGCGCGCCGGACAATTTGCCTATCGGCTGCCCCGATTAGCCCCACGCTGGTGCGGATTGCCTATGCCTCGCCGCCAGTGGATTTGTTTGGTGGATGTTCCTGTGCATCCTGGGGGAGAGCACCCTGGGTGATCTTATCGGTTGTGGGGTGTTTTGGCTGGCGGAGGGTCTCATGTTCTTGAGGGATGTCCGTTTGTCCTCGGTTTGGCCGTGCACCCTTTCAGACAGCCTTTAGCATTCTACCATGCCTCGACGTGCCAGGGGTCGCTGGGGCGGATTTGCAAGGAACAGGGACGGAGGATGAGGATTGGGCAGTGCTTGCCCTATCCGTCTTGCTTGGCCTCCCCCTCCATCCACATCAGTATCCTCTGCGTCCTCCTCATCCTCCTCCTCCCACCACCGCCAAAGCACCAGAAGCAAACTTACTGGAGGCAGCTTTCAGCTTCACGTTTGCAGTCTTGGATTCCACGAGCTCGAATCGAATTGATTCCTCCCACCTCGTCCTGCTTCCATCCCCTCCACATCCGCCTCCAGTTGCCTGCTGCCGCCGATTCGAGTCCCCCTCCGTTCGCCTCGACCTTGACGTCTCCCTTCACAGTGTTGCCTTCCGACTGCGGTGGTTGAGTTTGTTTCGTGGTGCCATGGAGTTGGTGAGGAGGCCACCCACGCTTTTTGAGCTACCTGAGGAGGATTGAGCTCTCTCTTGCGGCCGTTGGGCCGAACGTTTCCCTCGGGGTTCGGTATAGTCAGTACCCTCAATACCCTTACCATTTTTTCTCTTCCCATCAGTGGCTTGCGATTCTTTTCCTCCCACCACGCCCTCCTCTACAACTTCCTCCACACCACCACCGCCACCGCCTTCTCCTCCTCCTCCTCCTCCTCCTCCCCATCCCTTTTCCTTACAGCTAACTCCACCCTGTCGCAGCCCCAGACGTGTTGGTAGGGCTGGCCCGGGCGTTTCGCCTGACGTGTCCTCACCCTTTTTGATCCTGAGGCTTGAAGTCTGCAGCATATTCAAGGGTGGGGGGCGGCTGGTTTTCAAAACGTGGCTCGCCCTTTAAAGCCGCTCACATTCGTTTGAAAAGGTCACAACAGCTTCAATGATGGAGGGCGGCTGGTTTGCAAAATGTGGCTCTCGCTCTAGCGCCGCGCACTTTCATTTTCAAAGGTTGCAGCAGTTTCAGGAATGGAGGGCGGCTGGTTTTCAAAATGTGGGTCTCGCTACAGCGCCGCGCACTTTTGTCTCGAAAGCTTGCAACGTGTTGAAGGATGGAGGGCTGTTCCTTCCATAATCCGGCTCTCGCCTTAGCGCCGCGCACATTCGGATTTCAAAAGTTTGCAGTTGCAGCAGGTTCAAGGGTGGAGGACGGTTCCTTGTCAAAATGAGGCTCTCACTTCAGCGCCGCGCACATTCTGTTCGCATCCATTTCGGGGTGTCGTATGGCTGAAGTCCCAGGAACGGCGTTCTGGCGACTGTCAGGACGCAGCAGTCATGTTGGTTCGCGGCGGGGGAGTCCCAGGAAAGATAGTGTGTTGTGGCACGACCGAGGAATCGCAGGTGGTTGCCTTCCAATGAGGCGCTTCCCGCAATTAGTGTAGAAGCTCTTGTTGGATCGTTGATGCGCCTTGGGCTTACACTTGTCCTCCTCATGCTCACACCTCCTCCTCCTCATCATCCTCTTCCTCCTCCTCCTCCTCTCACCTTCTCATGTTCATCCCTGATCCATCGTGTCTCCTTATACATAGACAACTCCCCCCTGTCACGCCACCAAGCGTGTCGTTAGGGCAGGCCTAACATCTCGCCTGCGACTTCCTCGCCGGATGTCCACGCCTCTCCGGGTCCTCCAATAGATGCGCCCCCACGCATCGACCACCGCATCTCACGACGGCGAGGTGGACAGCAAGCCCCCCTACACCTACCGACCTCCCCTCACACGATGCATCTCTCTCTCTCTCTCTCGACGACGACGACCACGTCAAACTTCATGAGGAGTCATGGGCGGAGTGCGTCTGGCCGGCCACCCGCCATGCGGAAGAAGGTGTTCGCCGGCACGGCATTCAGAGCTTCAGGAGGGCAAAAAAGACGCAGACACAATTGATCGTCGATTCCAGAGAAAATATCGGGAAGCATGGGAAGTGGGGGGGAAGACAAAAGCCCGGAAAATATGGGAACACATGTGGGGGATTCTGTTTTCTGTGCCTATTTATTGTGGTGTGTCCCGGGGCCCCTTTCCGCGCTGGGAAACGACACGCAGAGGCAGCCCACGTCGAGGGACGTTAGGGGAACAAAAAGTCACATAAACATAAACACTCGGAGGTCCGCGCGGATTTCTCGGATCCGCGCTGGACCCCCCTGGCGGCGCCTCCGGCGCCGCCCCTGGCGCGCTCCGCGCGCCAGGGAGGGGGGTCCAACGCCGATCCGAGAAATCCGCGCGGACCTCCGAGTTTTTATGTTCATGCCATTTTTCGTTCCCCGAGAAACGACACGCAGAGGCAGCCCACGTCGAGAGGCGTGCTCCTCGCGCGGGTCCGGCCCCGCCCCGCTGCGGCGCCGAGCAGTGCCGGGAGCCCTGCCTGCCTTGTGGCGCCCCGGAGCGCACGCCGCCCCGCGGGAGTGTGCCGAGGTCACGGCGGCAGCATTCAGTCGGGCCTGTCCCTCTACAGGGGGAATGTTTCGGGGGTGGACAGAGCCCCCAACAGTGACACGTCGATTAGTGAATTGTCCGTTTTCGGTTCTCGAGAGGGCGCCGCGGACGCTATTTTCCAGGCTTGCGCCCGCCAGGTTTGGGCCTCAGGTCGTTTTCACGAAACCACGTTTTGCTAAAGGGGGGTCTGTCCATCCCCGAATGTTCAGGAATGGTCGAGAAATAGTCTGGGGACCATTTTTTGTGGTTTCGGGGGGCATCTTTGGAGCGTTTTTGGGTTTTTTTTTAATCTTTCGTCCAAAGTCCCCCTGTAGAGGGGGGGACAGGCCCGACCTAAGGGTAGCACCAACGGCGGGACGGCGACACGGCTCCGGGAAGAGGCCGTGGCACCCCGAGGGCAGCTGGACGGGCTGGCCCCACGTCCAGAGCCCTTTCGCGCACGCATCGGTCGGGCGTTGGCATAGGGCGACGAGATCTATGCATATCCACTGCTCCTGGCCAGGCCAATCCTGGGCCCAGGAGCGGTGTATACGCCCTCCTGGCCTGGCCAGGGAGGCATATACACAGCTCCTGGGCCCAGGATGGGCCTGGCCAGGAGCAGTGGATATGTATAGATCTCGTCGCCCTAAGGGGGTGCCCCTGGCCCAGGGCCCCTCGGTCAAGCAGTGGCGAAGCGTCCCGGCTCGCTTACAGCCCCACCAAGCAATGTTCTAAGCAGCTTTTTTGTGGTTCCCACGAAGTGTTCTTAGGACATGTTTGGTTGGGACCGTCTTGTTTGAACACATCGGGCTTCTGTTCTAAGAACATTGTTTCTGTTCTTAGAACACTGTTTGGGGGGTTCTAAGAACATTCCGTGGTATGCCTATAGGAATGCCAGGACGGTCGGTCCCTGCTCGACTCGGAGGTCCCAAAAACGCCTGGTGCTGGAGGCTTGGGAGTGGGCACAGGGACCAACACGTGGGGGCGCGCATCAAGAAACCATCCGAGTTTCGTCAGGGTGCCCAGGGTTTCTTCGCTCCGCGCGCCGCGCGGCGACTTCCCGCGGCCGTCAGAGAAGCTGATTCGTTCAGGGTGCTCCGGGGGCTTCCCTCAGGTGCATATCGCGCGCGGGTTTCCAGGGCTGGATTTCTTGCACCCGCGCCCGCACTCCGACGACTTCCCGCCACAAAGACATGCGAATGACTTTGCCTGGACGACATACGCCGCAGACAACCCGGAACAGTGGAATCCGTTGTCTCAGGTCAGGCATGTCTCCCATACGGGCGGATTGTGAACGAAAAACTAATTTTATTGAAAATATGCTCAAACATATCCTAAACAATAATCGAACAAGTCGTATCCAGACTATGTTTTAAAACTATGTTTGGATATTCCTCCTGTAGAGGGGCGCGCCCGACTTGGCCGTTGCCGCAGGAGTTCTGCAAGATTGGAGGGCCGCGGACACGCGGGCTCGACCGCACGGCGTCGCGCTCACTCGCCCCTGGCACTTTCTGCGTCCGTGGCCTTACGGCGGACCTGTCCCTCTACAGGAGGAATATGCACAAAAATCGGCAAAAAAAGTCTGGGGACGATTGTTGGATCATTTATTGAGTATGTTTGCATATGTTTGACTATTCCCTGCTTGTCGCCCAGAATCCGCCTGTGGGAGGACATGCCCGACCTGACCGTAGCCTGCTCAAGTATCAGCAAGTACCCACATGGAGCACAGGTGGTCTTCAGAATGGGGTTCTCGCCTTTGCTATGCCCACACTCGTCTTTACTAGTCGAATGGCTACACGGATGGAGGGCGGTTCGTTCTTCTTGTGAGTTTCTTATGAGTTTCTCGAATTGGTGCTTCACACATTCGTCTTGCACAAGATCAGCAGCTACGTACACGGATGGAGAGCTGCTTTTTGTTGAATGGGTTTTCCGTTTGATGATTCTTCAATGTTGGAAATCGAGTTCCAACATTTCATAACAGTTGGATGAATGGAGGGCGGTTTCTGTTTCAGATGGGGGCTTTCGTTTGAGGCATCTTCGCATGTCCTGACAAGGGTTATGCAAGTGTGCAACGCTTGCAGGGATGGAGTGCACATCCGTGTCGAAACGGAGCTCTCGTTGGACATGTCCTTGAATTGTATGGCCCCACCTCTTGGCAGATCTTATAGCTGGAAGGATGGAAGGTGGAATGGGGCATCGCCAGAATGTCAGACCCATGGGGCGTTCTTCCGTCAGGGGGAGGGGGGCGTTTCCCGCACTGGAAATGGACATCTGTAGAGGTGCGCGAGGATGGGATTCGGGACATAAGAGTGGATTGCAGCATCGTTGGTGCATCTTGGGCTTATGATGGTCCTCCTCTTGCTGCCCCTCTTCCTCATCCTCATCCCAGTCCCCCTCCTCCGGCTCGTCATCCTTTTCGAGCTCCTGCTATTCCTCCTCCTCGCCCGCCTCATCCTCTTCCTCCTCCTCCTCCTCATCCTCCTCCTCCTCCTCCTCCTCCTCCTCCTCCTCCTCCTCCTGTTCCTCTTCCTCATCCTCCTGTCCTTACCGCAGGAGCTCGAGGGCCTGTTCAGCTTTGGCGAGTCCGTCATCGGCCAGTCCTCGCTGGACTCCCGAGCGCTGCCCCGCCAGGAGCGACGCGCGCGCGTGTGTCCCTCCGCCCAGCCGCGCTCGACGCTCGCGGCCTCGTTCAGGCTGACGAGGAGGAGGCGAAGGAGGAGGAGGATACCAAGGGGAGGACGAGGAGAAGGAGGAGGTGGAGGAGGACGAGAAGGAGAAGGAGAAGGAGGACGACGAGGACGAGGAGGAGGAGGAGGAGGAGGAGGAGCAGAGGAGGAGGAGGAGGAGCAGAGGAGGAGGAGGAGGAGGAGGAGGCCAAGGGGAGGACGAGGAGGAGGACGAGGAGGAGGACGAGGAGGAGGAGGAGGAGGAAGAGGAGGAGGATGAGGAAGGAGAGGAGGAGGAGGAGAGGAGGAGGAGGAGGAGGAGGAGGAAGAGGAGGAGGGGGAGGGAGGAGGAAGGGGAGGAGGAGGGGGTGGGGCAGGAGGGGAGAAAGAGGAGGAGGAGGGGGGGGGAGGAGGAGGAGGAAGAGGCGGAGGAGGAGCAGGAGAGTGAGGAGGAGGAAGGGGAGGTGGTAGTGATCACCGCATAAAGGTCGACAAGTCCCCAGCAGAGCAACATGCATCACGACCATGACGACGACGGAGACGAGGCGCAGAGACGATCCGCATGGAAATGCTGATTTTGGACAGGGCCCAACTTGCAGGAAGCGGTGCTGCAGTCTCCCCTGGTCACAGCCCCGAAAGAGCATTAGTCGTACAAAACTGGTGTGTACCCTCATGCCTTGCTGGACTCTGGGCGCGCTTCGGCCGAGGGGGGAGGCGGATGGTAATGGTGATGCTGATGGTGACGGTCATGAGGATGGCGACACCAGTTGATAAGGTCGATGATGATGACGATGGCGTTGACGATGACGATGATGATGAGGAGGAGGATGATGAGGATGATGATTGTGATGATGAGGCTGCTGAGGTTGATGTTGATTGTGTTGATGGTGATGGCCATGATCATGATCGTGATGATGATGATGATAAATATGAGGATTCGTATGGTTGTGGTGGCGATGAAGATAAAGCTGAAGATGATGACGATGAAGATTACGATCAAGATGCATATGAAGACGATGATGGCGACTATGTTGCAGCCGATGGTGGCGATGACGACAATGACGGTGCTGATTCCGATGAATAGCAATGAGATGATGGTGACCACGATGTTGATGATGATGATCATGGTGATGATCATGGTGATGATGATGATGATGATGGTGTATGTGATGATGGTGATGGTGATGCTGTGGATCGTGATGATGATGAGGATGATGCTGGTTGTGCTGCTACTGATGCTGATTATGATGGTGGTGATGGTGATGGTGAGACTGCTGCTATTGGTGATGGTGCTGATGTTACTGATGATGATGCTGCTGATGGGGATGGTGATGATGCTGATGACGATGGTGACGATGATGATGCTGCTGATGATGATGATGATCATGGTGATTGTGACGATGATGATGATGACGATGATGATGATGATGATGATGATGATGATGATGATGATGATGATGATGATGATGAGCAAGAGGATGCTGATGCTGTTGGTGACGACGACGATGGTGATAAACATGACGACGATGACGATGCCGATGCTGATGTTGTTGCTGGTGATGATGATGATGATGATGATGATGATGATGATGATGATGATGATGCGTCTAAGGATGAAGATACGAATGATGATGAGGATTGGGATGAGGATGAGGATGAGGATGACGACATTGGCGACGACGATGGTGATGATGATGATAATGGTGGTGGGTGGTGACGACGATGAGCAGGAGGAGGGGGGGGAGGAGGATGAGGATGAGGAGGATGCGGAGGATGAGGATGAGGGATGAGGATTTTGCTGATGCTGTTGCTGCTTACGACGACGATGATGATAATGTTAACCATAGAAACCTCAGAATCATGATAAGTAATAGTCATAATACTAACGATAATGACGATACTGATGATGATGATGAGGCTGACGATGACGACGACGACGATGATGATGATCAGGATGACGCGATGATAATGATGATGATGGATTGGTGATGGTGATGGTGGTGGTGGCAATGGTGATGGTGATGATGATGGTGATAGTGATGGTGATGATGGTGGTCGCGGTCGTGGTGGTGATCATGATGATGATGACGACGACGACGGTGATGGTGATGATGATGACGATGATGATGATGACGACGATGATGATGATGATGATGTTGATAAAGATGATGATGAGCAGGAGGATGCTGATGCTGTTGGTGACGACGACGATGGTGATAAACATGAACACGATGACGATGCCGATGCTGATGTTGATGCTGATGCTGATGCTGATGATGATGATGCGTCTAAGGATGAAGATAGGAATGACGATGAGGATTGGGATGAGGATGAGGATGAGGATGACGACATTGGCGACGACGACGATGGTGATGATGATAATGGTGGTGGGTGGTGACGACGATGAGCAGGAGGAGGGGGAGGAGGAGGATGAGGATGAGGAGGATGCGGAGGATGAGGATGAGGATTTTGCTGATGCTGTTGCTGCTTACGACGACGATGATGATAATGCTAATCATAGAAACCTCAGAATCATGATAAGTAATAGTCATAATACTAACGATAATGATGATGCTGATGACGATACTGATGATGATGATGAGGCTGACGACGACGACGACGATGATGATGATCAGGATGACGTGATGGTGATGATGATGATGGACTGATGATGGTGATGGTGGTGGTGGCAATGGTGATGGTGATGATGATGGTGATAGTGATGGTGATGGTGGTGGTCGCGGTCGTGGTGGTGATGGTGATGATGATAGTGACGGTGGTGGTGTGGTGGTGATGATGATGATTGCGATGATGATGGTGGTGGTGATGATCATGATCATGGTAATGTTGATGATGATGATGATGATGCTGATGATGATGATGATGATCATGATCATGATCATGATCATGATGATGATGATGATGATGATGATGATGATGATGATGATGATTAGGATGATGACGATGACGACGACGATGACGATGACGATGCTGCTGATGATGATGATAATGCTGATAGTGATGACGATGATGATGATGCTGCTGATGATGATGATGATGATGACGATGATGATGATGCTGCTGCTGCTGATGATGATGATGATGACGATGATGATGATGATGATGATGATGATGATGATGATGATGATGATGATGATGAGATGATGAGATGATGAGATGATGAGATGATGAGGATGAGGATGATGGATGAGGATGAGGATGATGAGGATGAGGATGAGGTTGATCAGTCATGGAGGAGGAGAGGAGGAGGAGGAGGATGAGGAGGAGGAGGAGGAGGAGGAGAGAGGGCGCAAGCGGGAAGAGGGGCCCGCCCGCGGCGCCGGAAGGACAACAGCAGGGTCTTCGGGGAGCTGGAGAGGAGGTCCGCGACCCGGCCCCGCCGCCCAGGGGGAATCGGCGGAAGGATGAGGGCGGAGGGGGGAGGGGAGGAGGGGGGAGGAGGGATGGAGGAGGAGGAGAGGAGGAGGAGGTGAGAAGGAGGAGGAGGAGAGGAGGAGGAGGAGGAGGAGGGAGGAGGAGGAGGAGGAGGGGAGGAGGAGGAGGGAGGAGGAGGAGGAGGAGGAGGAGGAGGAGGAGGGGGGGAGGAGGAGGGTGGAGTCGGCGGCGAAGTCTTGGCCCCCCCCCCGGCCGATCGACGGTTCGGGCAGCTCGAGGGGCAGCGGGGGAAGGGCGCGGAGCTCGTCGATCAGGCGGCGAGCCCCGAAACCCTACAGCCGGGGCCCTGAAGAAGGAACCCTTTTCGTTGGGGAGGGGCTCGGTGTTCCTTGATTGTTCTACAGTTTGCCTTCTGTTTTCCCGAGGTTCTCCATGGGAAATCGAAGTTCAACTTATGGGAGAAAGGGGCCCTGTTCCTCATTTGGGGTTCCTGAGGTCAACGCCCCGACTGTACCCCCGCCTCCCATCGATTCAGAAGGGGGGCAGGGCTCGGATGTCGCCACGTAGAGAAGCAGCAGAGTCATCACTTTGTAACCGCTGTTTGGGCCCGAAGCCAGCACTCATCGCGCCCAAGGCTTCCGTCACAAGACGCTTCGGACTCGAAACAACGAAGAAATGCCTCTCGGACCTGAGGGTGGTCCCTTCGGGGAGGGCTTGCGCTCACGAATCGTACACCTGTGCTGCAGCGGTTGGAAGATCTCTGCTTCTCAGCTGAGGTTCCCCGACGAGGCCGCCGCCCCATATGGTGAGGCGGGGGGGCGACGGCAAAGGGACGAAAAAGTTGACCCCCTTCGTGCTCGACATCGTTGCCCCCCCCCCCCCCTTCCGTAAAAGCAGACGTCTCCCTTACCATTCTGCTGTTTTTGTTGTTCGCCACCCAGCGGGTCGAGCCCCATGGCAGCAGCTAGTGCACGACGAGAGCTTCAAGACGGCGGTACGACTGGCCCGATCGGCTCGGGGCTAGGGGCTCATGCTCGGGGGCCGGCAGATACGAGCCTTCCGCCCCCCTCCCAGATTCACTTGGCATCGCTCGGACGTGTGCATTTTTCCTTCGGCGAGGACCATCGAGGAGCATCCTTGATCATTTGGCGAAAAAACCACGCACGAAACCGAAAAAAACACAGGGAATGGACGTCCGAGCGATGGCGAGTTCAGGGGTTGCCTCAGACTCGCGCCAACCCGGGGGCGCCAATTTCGTTGTCCTCTCACGCCTGTGTTGCGTTTCGCCCACGGCCAAAACTGTGCGTCCTGGATCTGGTGTGGATCGTTTTCATCCGGGCTCCTCGTCGATTGGTCGTCTTCGCCCAGCTCGTCTTCGCCTGGCGTCGTCGTCGCCTGGTCGTCTTCGCCCAGCTCGTCTTCGCCTGGGTTGCCTTCGCCCAGGTCGTCTTCGCTCATTCGTTTTCTCCCGGTTCGTCTTCGCCCAGGGTCATGTTCTTCTAGTCGTTCTCGCCCGATTTTTATTGAAGGGGGTTGTCTTCACCCAGTCTTTTTGCACAGTCGTTTTCGCCCAGCTCGTCTTCGACCAGGGTCGTGTTCCTCTGGCCGTCTTCAAGGAAGGAGGAGCAGGAGGAGCAGGAGGATGGGGGAGGAGGATGGGGGAGGAGGAGGAGGAAGGGAGGAGGAGGAGGAGGAGGAGGAGGGGAGCAGGAGCAGGAGGAGGAGGAGGAGGAGGAGCAGGAGCAGGAGGAGCAGGAGGAGGAGGAGCAGGAGGAGGAGGACAGGAGGAGCAGGAGGAGAAGGAGGAGGAGGAGGAGGAGCAGGAGCAGGAGGAGCAGGAGGAGGAGGAGCAGGAGGAGCAGGAGGAGCAGGAGGAGGAGGAGGAGGAGGAGCAGGGGCAGGAGGGGTGATGAGATAGTCCTTGCTCTAGGTCGCCCGAGGGAGGGGGGGGCGACGAAATGCGAAGGTAGTCGCGCTTAGCACGTCGCGGCCTGGGCCTGAGCGGCCGCCCTTCTCCAGGGGGGGGGGGAGGGCGCGAGGGCGCGAAGATGCCGTGCATCGCGGGGCGGGGTGCACGAAGTTGGGTGACCTGGGGTAGCCCTGGATGTTTCTCACGGCAGGTTCGCGTCGTGCCGACTTGCCGCGACCCCGCCGCGAGCGTTCAGGGTTGAGCACCGCCAGTGACCCAGGGTCGGCCCCTATGGAACGATCAGTCGGAGGTTGATAGGCCTCCTACCCTGACACGTCGACTCGGGAATTGGCCGTTTTCGGTTCGCGGGAGGGCGTCGCGGCCGTCATTTTTGCGGGTCCAGGTCCGTCGGTTTCGGTCCCAGGCCGTTTTCACTCAAGGGAGGTTTACAGTCGGAGCGCTGAAGAAGGAACCCTTTTCGTTGGGGAGGGGCTCCGTGTTCCTTGATTGTTTCACAGCTTGCCTTAAGTTTTCCTTTGGTTTTCGATGGGAATTCGAACTTTAACTGATGGGAAAAAGGGGCCTCGTTCCTTATTTAGGGTTCCTTAGGTCAACGACCAGACTGTACTAAAGGGAGGTTTGTCCACCGCCGAATCTGGCGATCGGAAAGCCGCCGATCGTTCCAGGTCTCGACGGTCCCATGTGGTGTCAGAGACCGCCGCGCAGGTCGGCGCGACACGAGCCCGCCGTACACCCTAGGCGATGCTTAAGAACACTCACGTTTTCGGCCAGAGTCTCGATGATTCTTAATGTTTCAATGTAAGTCCTAAGCTGTTGATAGAAGTTCTGGGCTGTTATTCAACATCTGAGACTGTGAATTTCTGAACCCATGATGTCTTAAGCACTTCGCAGGGTGTATCAGGAGGGAAAAACACACAGACACAATTAATCGTCGATTTCCCAGAAACTATAGGAAAATATAGGAATTGGGCGGGAAGACAAAAACCAAGAAAATATGGGAACATATGGGGAATAATTTTATTTGTGTGTGTTTATTTGTGTGTCCTGGGGCCCCTTCAGTGTATCCAACCCCGGCGTGAGGACCAGAAGTTGGAGCAGAAGCTGGACAAGATGCACGAGCTGCTCGCCCAGCATGCCCAGACGAGGAGAGCGCGCCGCGCCCTCCGGGCGAGCGCTGCGGCTTCTGCTGCTCCCGCCCCACCCCCCGCTCTTCCCCCCTCCACCTCCTCCTCGGTCTTCTGCTCCTCCTCCTCCTCCGCCTCCTCCTCCGCCTCCTCTTCCTCCTCCTCCTCCTCCTCCTCCTCCTCCTCCTCCTCCTCCTCCTCCTCCTCCCCCTCCCCTTCCTCCTCCCCCTCCTCCTCCCCCTCCCCTTCCTCCTCCCCCTCCTCCTCCACCCTCCCTTCTCCCCCCCTCCTCCCTCCTACTGCTCATCCCCCTCCTGCTCCGCCTGAGCGATCGCTGAAGTCGTTCTGGGTAAGGCAAGGGTGGGTGCGAAGACCGACCCCAATTCCTCTAGGCCTCCCAGTTGGGGTCGGAGAAGACGAGGACGGAGGATCGCGCCAGATCGCCGATGCGTCGGGGATGCGGCTCGATGTGGAGCCCGACTTCCTCCACGCCGACATCGCCAATGCGTCGCCGAGGTGCGGCGCGAGCCTCCGACCCCACCTACACGGACAACCCTTATTAGGGAGGCCTCCAAAGAACGGGTACGACGACCAGCAGCATGTCCTGTTCATTCCGAGCCGTGCTCGCTGTATGTGCCGCCGCGGGCGTTGTCCGCGCGAGAGAGAGAGAGAGAGAGAGAAAAGAAAAAAGAAAAAAAAAAAAAAAACGCCTGCTCAACAGCGGCCGCCTGTCGGTTTTGGACCACACGTGCTGCTGGGCATCGTGCGCATCTTTCCCCGACCTTGCGCGGAGGGGTTCTCGTTCAGGGCTCCCGTGTGGGGTGTCTGGGGGGGTACCCCATCGAAGTCTGGCCAGTGGCCACGGTCTCGTTTAGGACTCCCGTGTGAGGTGCTTGGGGAGGTGGCCCCCCTCGAAGTCTGGCCCACGGCCACGGTGGAAGTTTGGCGGAAGTCTTACAGCTGCGGCTTCGCGACACGGACAGCCTCGGGAAGCCCCAAAGTTGCCCTTGACGACCCAAGATGGACTCCAGGGCGTTTCCGAGAGAGCCAGGATGGCCTCCAGACGGTCCAAGACAGACGGCCTCCAAATTGCCCAAGAGGCCCCCATGACGCCCCGAGAGCCCCCAAGAGAACCCCCAAGTGGCTACAATCGTCTCATTCCTGTGAGGGAAGCGTACATGCTTAGCATCATCTCAGTTTTTGGTTTGAACGGCGTCCAATACGGCCCAACAGGCCCTGGAGATCGCCTCAGGATGACCCAAGAAAGCCCCAAGAAGGCCCCAGAGGGCCCGACGATGGTCCAAGAGAGCCCCAAGACGGCCCAAGAGGGGCACCAGAGGGCCCCAGCCGATTCCCAAGAGAGCCCCAAGAGGGCCATTGGTGGCCCCCAGGAGGGCCCCTAGACGGCGCAAGCCCCCCACGACGGCCCGCGAGGACCCCAAGACGACCAAAGAGAGCCCCAAGACGGCCCCAAAGGTTATGATGTTCCAACCTACTTTAGCCTTGACCACGAGAAAGAATTTCGAGCACCAAGAAAGTACCGAAATTCGATGTGTTTCACGTGTCGGGCCCTGGGAGATTCGCCCGACGCTGTTTCGACACTGTTTCGACACTTTTCGGAGCGCTCGAAGTTGTTTCTGGGATGCGGTCCTTAAGTACGACGGGAGCAACATAACCCAACGGACCACCGAGAAGGCCCAGGGAAGCCATAGTCGTTGATGTTCATAGCGCTTTTTGCTAATTCCTGTCCCTTCTGAACCTCTTCGTAGGGCCCGGGATGGCCTCCAGACGCCCCAGACGGTTCCCAAATGGCCCAAGACGACCCCAAGACAGCCCAAGAGGTCCCCAAGGTGGCCCCAGAGGGCTCCAAGAGGACCATGCGGAAGGCCTCTTTGCTTGTGTGCCCCTGGGCTTCTGTTGCTCCCATCGTACTCAAGGACCACATTCCATAAATGATTCCGAGCACCCAGAAAAGTGTCGAAACAGTGCCGAAGCAGTGTCGGACGGGTGTCTCCCAGGGCCCGACACGTGAAAACCGCCGAGTTCTGGTGCTCTCCTGGTGCTCGAGATGATGTTTGGCCATTCGGCTTACAGTTAGTCAGAGGCCAGCAACATATGTACACGTACGCGGTTAGCTTCCCCTGGAGGGCATTTGAACGAGGACGTTCGTGCACTCAAGATCGCGGAGGGCGTACATGTACATATGTCGTTGCTCGCTCAGTTAGTTGGCACATCATAACCCTGGGCCCCTTCCACGACAGGCGCGCGCGCGGGAGGAGGAGGAGGAGGAGGAGGAGGAGGAGGAGGAGGAGGAGGAGGAGGAGGAGGAGGAGGAGTAGGAGAGGAGGGAGGAGCGCCCCGGTCCTGGGGCGGATCTGCATCGGGGCGCCGACGGAGGGGCCGCGCGCCCAGTGCTCCCTCCGCCCTCCTCCCGCCCTCCCTCCGCCCTCCTCGCCCTCCCTCCGCCCTCCTCTGCGACCGCCCCTCCTCCTCCTCCTCTCCCTCCTCCCTCCTCCTCCTCCTCCTTCCTCCTCCTCCTCCTCCGCCCTCCTCCGCCCTCCTCCTCCTCCGCCCTCCTCCTCCTCCCCCAGACGTCCGCGCGCCGAGAGAAGAGCCAGGACAGGAGGGCTTTCGCCGCCTTCGCGGCGGCGAGCGAGAGGGGGGCAAGTCTCAGAAGGCGGCGGGACTTCTCAGCAGCCCATCGCGCCTTCTGGGAGGTGTTTTGTGTCTTGGGGGAAGGTTTGGAACACTTTTCAAAAGGCCGGGGGAATTCCGAGCCTTCTGAAGACGCCTTCTCCTGATTTCCCCTCGCTCGCCGCCAATGTTCGGCCCTTGCGGGCCCGCACTGGGCCCAGAGACCGTGAACAAAACGATTTTCCGAGCCAGAAACAGATGCCTGGGAAAGGGTCGAGACTTACGGGAAACGCGCACGAAGAGGAGGACAAGGAGGAGGAGGAAGGAGGAGGAGGAGCAGGAGGAGAAAAAGGAGGAGAAGGAGGAGGAGGAGGAGGGAGGAGGGAGGGAGGGAAGGAGGGCTGGGAGGACGGGAGTGAGGGAGGGAGGGGAGGGAGGGGAGAGGAGGGGAGGGGAGGGGGAGGGGAGGGGCGGGAGGGGAGGACGGGAGGGAGGGAGGGCGGAGTCTCGTCGTCGTCGCAGTGGTAGTCGTATCGTTGGTCGCAGTCTGTCGTAGTAGTAGTAGGAGTAGTAGTAGTAGTAGTAAAGTAGTAGTAGTAGTAGTAGTAGTAGTAGTAGTATTTTAAGTAGTAAAAGTAGTAGTAGTAGTATTAGTAGTAGTAGTAGTAGTGGAGAAGTAGGAGTAGGAGTAGTAGTAGGAGTAGTAGCAGTAGCAGTAGCAGCAGTAGTAGCAGGCGTCTCACACATGTTACTCATATCAGTTGTAGAATACTTGCTTAATCGTTTCGCTCATTCCGCCGGCCCATATTGCCTCGCCGCTGTCGTTTGTCGGGGAGGTAGTAATAGTCATAGTAGTAGTAGTAGTAGTAGTAGTAGTAGTAGTAGTAGTAGTAGTAGTAGTAGTAGTAGTAGTAGTAGTAGTAGTAGTAGT